TCAGTGATGTTTGGTATGTAGCTCATATTTTAGCTTAAATAAAGTGCCATTTATTCTATAGATGGAAGTAAAGGAAAGCAGGATCTCACCATGCAAGATTCAGATTCTGAGCTGAAATTCCAACAAACTATTTAACTCAATAATCTTTGTTTAATTGAGTACAAACTGGGGCTGAGACTGACTAGCTTCACATTTTTAGTATAATTATTTAAAAATACATTTATTCCAATGTATTTCATTGCATTAAAGTACAACAAGCACCTCAGTTATAAAGAAAAGATCCATATCATGACCACTTAAAATCTAATTACTAGTAGATGAGAAATGACAACATAACAAAGAACCTAACACTTAAGAGTTGATACTGGTGTGAACTTTGCGTATTAAAAAGTTTAATATATTAGAATTTCTTCTCTCTTTTTTCTTTTGTTTTCAGCCTTTTTCTTTTCCATGCTGCCCTTTCCTACTACTTAGCAGGATAGGGCACCTAAGCCTTCATTCAGCTTTTACAAGTCTTCCTCAGTTAGAGCATAATTCAGCATTCACTGAAACATACAGAAAACTTCCAGCTCACAGTACTCAGACGCGAGTTAGGTGCCAAAATCTTTGACTACTGCCAATAGCTTTAGCTAGAAAGCCAGTATTACCCTGCTGGAAAAAAAAATAAAAAATAAAAAATTGAGACCAAAAAGTACATTACATCTATCTAGAATCTAAGCCTGTCAAAAATAGCTTTTTTTCCCTCAGTTATTCAAGTAGGAGTATTTTAATTAGGAGAGCAGAGCAAGTGATCTTCATTAGCTACACTGTAAAGCACACATTTCTCAATAGTTAGACTCTAAAAGAGCTTGCCAAACCATACAAATAGGGTACATCCTGCAATCTCTTCTGCAATCCCCTGCTTCTGACTTAAAGACCTGATTTTAGCTCTGCAGATGCCTTCATTTGTCTTTAATGGAGAGAGACCAAGAGAAAGCCTGTGGGAGAAGGAGGGACTCTGGGAAATATAGAACATGAGGAAAGCTACTCAATTTTGCTAGCGACAACTCAACTCAATTAGAAAAGGGCTCCTTGATGCAGTGTTCCTTCTAACACACAATGCAGACTGGCAGAACTTTTCTTGATAGAATAGGAAGCATTAAAATGTAATATACAGAGCTATCAAAAGGAGAGAAATAACATCTTCCAACTGTCCAAACAGAGAGCGTATGCTTGAGGAAAACAGAGCTGAGGGTGGGGTAGCAGTGGATTTTAATGGAGTTAAGGCTTTTTTCCCAAGAGCAAGAAAAACACACTGTGAACAGTTTGTGCACAGTCATCGTGTCAGAAGAATTTTTATAGAAACAACCACATCTCACTGAAGGGCATAAACCTGTCAGCTTCCAGCTCCAAGAATGCCAAGAGTAAACTGCATGTTTGCTCTCAGTTTAGCATTCAAATGCATAGCACTGAGATAGGGAACAGGAATTCTGCAAGGCAGCAGGCTGCCCCAGGGCACGCCGTGATATGCCCTGTGCAGTTCAGATGCACATCAGGTTGTACGAAATTGGTCTCCATCCACATAATCTGTTATTTTGGTGATATTATTTCTTTGCTTTTTTGTTGTTGCTTATTTCTTACGTAAATTAATTTCCCTAAGATACAGTGCCTAACGATCTGACTATCCATGATATGCTTCAAATACTGGAATACATTAGACTATAAGAAGGCCCTATGGTGATTTGCTAATTAGCTTAACTCTTATGGGACAGAGAAGTAGGAATTTTTTATTAAATCAGGATAACAGTGGACTATATTGATCTGACTGAGAAATGAGTATTTTAGTCAAGATGAGCCTCTAGATGAGTACATGCTGGAAACAGTGATGTTGTTTCCATAGCAATGCCATGACTGCTGCTGAAGTGAAATAGTGCGCTACCAGGAAATGAAGGGAGTTCAAGTGCTATGAGCTACATACTTCTGTGAGCGATCCAAATACATTCTCATAAAGAATATTTAGTGCAGCTAGATAGTCCAAAGATTGCTGCTGATGTGAAGTAAGCCTTATCAGTATGCTTCCAGCGCTGCAGTTTTCTCATTCAGTACACCAAAGATGACTTATCTAAATGCTTCAGCTATGGGCAACACTGCTAAGCCATTTCAGACTGAACATTAACAAATACAGCAACCTTTACCTTCCTTCTTTGCAGTGAAGAGTATCATCTATAATTAAGGACACTCTCGTTCTCCATAACATGATCACACACATTAAACCTTTCAGCGAAGAAAAGCCTCATATGTGTAGTTATTTACTAGCTGACCCTCTCGCTTCCTTTCCTCTCACCTCCTCCCCCCTTTCCTCATCCTGCTCAAACAATAGTGAGCAAACATGCTTGCAAGTGGGAAGTCATGTACAAAAAAGTTTTGCATATTTCTCACAAAAATTTACAGTCATAGCATAAAACTCACTTCCCTGCTTTTCACCCCAGTTACTACTTATGCTACTATCAAAGCAAACCACAAAGTCACTAACTGTATTTTGCTTGCCTAAGGCTTTACCTAAAGTACATATTTTGATCAAATTTTACAAAGCTGAATTATTTTCCAAGGCAACCAGAACGAGAACTAACTTAAGATCTGCACTGCTTTGTCTTTTTGTTTTGAAATACACAAAGAATTCTCAGTGATTCACAGAAGTACTAAAGTAATGGTTATAACCCAACTGAAGCCATTATAACTGTTCTCGACTAAAATTTTAAAAGACAAAGTATTTTACTTAAAAAACCCTAGCATATCACTGTTAATCTGACAGTTTTTCTCCAGCTTTTCCATGGTAATTTGTAAAGATGTTCAAACATCAGCTGAATGTCCAGAAGCTCTACCACTGTATTTGTTGTGCCATCATCACAACAGTCTCTTGGGTAAATAGACTGCAGTTCATTATATGCAGCACTGCTGTCTCTGAGGGAAAGTAGAAAGAGAAGTATGTACCACTGCCAGATGCCTTATTAACAAATGCAACTAAGAGCTAAATATTTTCTATTTATTGTTTTAAACGTTTCAAGGAATCAAACCCCCAGTGCAAAACAGCAAGATGTTTCACTTCCATTTTACATCTAGTAAGAAAGTGTGAAGCAAGCATTTTTAAAACTCAGTCTCCTCTTGTCTGTTCTCTTAACTCTTCTGCAGAACAAGGCACCAAACCAAGCAACATTCAGGTTTGATACTAGCAAAAAATCATTCTCTAAAAGAGCAATAAAACATTGGAATGAGCTACCCAGGGAGGTGGTGGAGTCACCATACCTGGAAGCGTTCAAGAAGAGGGCAGGAGTGGACATGGGGACATGGTTTAGTGGGCATTGGTGGCAATGGGTTCACAAGTGAACGAGATGATCTTAGAGTTTTCGGTTAGAGATTCAGTTTCGTTACTGGACAGATTTCAAAATCTACTGGAAAACACGCTGCTGCAATTTTATGAGAACTTAAAGGGTCCTACATAGGGGAAGAAAAAAAAAAGAAAAAAAAATACCTGCCACTGTGGCCAGTATAGAAAAAGCAGGCTGCCACCTAAGTTTAACCACCTCTTTACTCATGGTTTTATCAATGTTCTCTCTTATCACTGCCTGAACTCTCTCATGACCACCTGACAGGTATTCATTCACGCGTATCTAAAAGAAGCAGCAAGATCTGTATTGAATCCAGGATAAAACACAGTTATTCCAAAGTTATCCACACAAGTATCCCAAAGTTTATAAACAAAAAGTTTCCCATCCTAAAACTCAGAAACAGAGTCTGATTTCACCCCCCATCAGCAGTTTTAGAACATCCTCAGACACTTAACAGCTTACTTACTATAAACTGTCTAGTGTTGTAAGGGTTAAATTAGTGATTCAAACACAAACTCTAGAAAACACACTTATTAGTAAATATTCCACAACAGGAAGGTGTGCATAGTACACACAGCTGTGACTGAATACAACAGATGAGTACACACAAGTAGGGTCAGTAACGTTCTAAATAATAGTTATTCAGTCTCAAGTACCTTTGATGTCCATGTTGTATCATCAAGACATATGGTAGCATTTATGGTCTTGAAACTGTTTTCCAGCTCTTCACAGGTACACTGCTAGTTTGAAGTATCTTTGTGGAAAACACTTTAGAAGACTACATATAAACATTTTCATACAAAGGGTAAATGAATTAAAATTCTGTTAATCAGGCTATGAAATCTAAAGTTCTCATACAGAATATCAACATCTAATAGTCCTTCATACAATTCCATGGATAAATATTCTTCTAATTCCTCTTGAAATAAAACAACAACAAAAAAGGGCATACAATATTCTGAACTGGCTCCATAATCTATTTCTTGTCTTTCTCTTCCCTTACGTTCTGCAACACACAGAGAAGCATTTTTCTTGACTTCATTTTCTCTGGCTCCTCCTGCACTGTGCAGTGCAGTGCAGGGGCAGCCTCCCTGACTGCAATGATCCCACAACATGGCTTTCAGGATGATGCCAGCACTTGATACAGCAATGACAGCATTAACTTCAAACAGAACTCACATGAAGCAGGCAAGCCTAATCCCTGAACTATGCACATCTCAGAAATAAGGGTTTTGTGCAGGAGGGTGGCTGAGAACAGGGGACAGAGGAAGAATAGGCCTTTCAGGAAAAAAAAAGTTACAAAAAAGTGCTGCAGCTCAGCATGAAATGTCTTAAGGAAATCACAGTATGCTGTAACATGCTAGTCAGGTGGATAGTTATCATTCAGTCATCATCTGTTTTCTGTTTATGTGTCACTGACCAACTCCAGGACTGCTATTTTTCACAAAATTCCCTAAATTTTGCAACCTCTTAGCTGTCCTTTATGATATCTGAGTGCTTTCTGTTACAAATACTGCCTGGATTCTGGTAAGGGTAAGATATATTTATAAATTTGCAGAAAAAATATTTTATAATGTCCCTCCTAAGCTCCACTAATGCTATCACCACTGACCAAGGAATCACAATAAAGGATACTGAAGCTTCTATCCGTGATTGCTAAGTGCCAGAGATTAATCCTGAGATCATCCGCTGACATGTACGTCTCACAGTCACTGTTGACAGATATTGAGTTGACATGATAGGTGTGACCATTAGCAAAGATTCTCCGGGGAGTGACTTCTACCATCAAATCCATAGGTTTCAATACAGGCACCTGACAAAAAACAACAACAGATCAGAAACAGAGTAAGATCTTCACTAATTTTTTTGCTAGCATGATGGAGAGCAAGTATTCAAAGACTGTGACATTATAAAACTTCTCAGTAGCGTATGCAAGTCAAATTTCTCTATGGATGAATAGTTGGGCAAGACCATCCCTGACAATAGGGAAGCCAAGACAAGAGCCATGGAGAGCTAGGAAGAACAGTGGAAAGCTTGGGCCGCAGGAAGAGAGGCACTGACAGCTGCCACAGTGCAGGCCAGTCCCATGCCTCACATATGCAGAAGGTTCTGGCTTCATCAGGCAAACAATGAACTCCTAGTATTTATTTTTCCTATATTCTGTTGGCTGTAAATCACTCACATTATTCCTTTTGCTACTTTATCTCAAAGAGAAGTCAATCAGAGAAAAGGTTATAATCTCTGCCAAACATAATAAATAAAGTCTTAGAAAACAAACCCAACTGATCATTGCACCCTTGTTATTTCCCTGTGTGTGATTTTGATGTCATGCTCTGAAATCTAGACAATGCCCTGTTGGTAGAGCATTAAACACAGAAATGCTGTGATCCTCAACTGGGAACATTTGATGTAGTTGAATATGCATCAGAAACAATCTATTAAACATGCAAGATCATTTAAGGAGAAACACAGAAAGTTAAAGTTTTGAGTTTAACTTGCTGCTACAGCAACAAAGCAATGATTCTCTCCGTCTTTGAATTCTCAGATTACAAGCAATCCTAACTGGCTTTGTCTGCTTAATGATACAGAACAGGAATTCTGCAAGAATTCCATTCATGTAGATCTGTAGACTTTGGTGGGTATTGGCTTGGCTTGCAGGTAGGAGTTGATTATTTCTTTTTAAAATTAGTGAAAATAATAGCACTTGTACAACACAGCCTAGGATAGAACTTCTAGCTCTAACCTTTAGTCATCTCCTTTAGAAAAACACCTGAAGTGATTCAGCCATTACAGTGTGAGAGCAAAAATATATTGCAATATGAGATTGAACACTGAACCCATCAGCAATGCAAAGCCTCACATTCACTGGACTTCTGCATATCTCCAGAAAGAAGACAATTCTTTTATACTACTGTAATAATGATGAGATTGAAATTTGCTATACTGTCTAACTCCATTACTCTGAATGAGGTGAGTGTACTGTTTAATATTAATTATAAGTAGGCTTCTTCCAGCACACTAAGTTCCATAACCCTGTGTGAAAGAAAGTGAAGTCACACTGAGAGAATTTTATCAGGAAAAATAGAATTGATGATAAACTCCAAACATTTCTGTGATGGTCACTATGTTGTAAAGGATTTGTGACTTAAAAATAGATTATAGATTCAGAACTGTGAAGTCAGCCAAAACTTCAAGAATAATTGCATATATACTTAACACTAGGTGTATATCTAAATCTTTCACTGACTTGGTGCCTAGGACTATCTTCTTCACACAGAAGCAGCCAGGACAATGACAGCATCTTACCTGTAGTGACGTTACTGTAGAAAGATCTTTCAGCTTTCCTTCTTCATCCTTTAAGTTGTACCCCTCTGGTCTCTTATCTCTTTCAGTAATTTTCCATAACTTGATTGTTTTATCTTTAAAAGAAGAGACAAACAGCTTTCTGTCAGCATAGGAATTCTGAACATGGTTACTCACCTTTCACAAAATACTCTTTAAAGAAGTTTCTGCACCTTGGCTTAGCCATGTTCCATGCTGAAACAGTCTAGGTCTCTAAATCTGGCACATTCAATCAATGCTGTCAACTGGAAAAAATACTCATAAAGCACAACCCATACCCTGAAGTGAGTCAGAGGGCCCTGACAGCTGACAGATCCTGCAAAATACACGCTGCTCTCATATCCAACTCAGCAGTTTGCAGGCAGAAGATACCAAAACCACACAGTGCTTCCTGCTGAAGGTCAAACTTGCAAAGTCAAATCATCAAGGAAATAACCTTGATACTAAAGCGTGTTAGCTAGGTTACTTCTGAACCACACAAGAACAGAGACCATTTATACCTGTTTAGGTTACTGTGGAAATGGGCAAAGGTATATTGGTATAGCATCATGAGCTCTAGCACAGAAATGAAAGTGTGAAGTATGAAACATTTTGCTCTCCTAACAAGGGATATCAACAAAAAAACATTAAAAAACAGAGAAACATGCTGTAAGGGTAAGAGAGAGAGAAGTGGAGAGAAAAATATATTAGTATCACAGGAAATTGAGTTAAACCTAAACTCTCCCTTTTCATGATGGATAAGATGATCATCAAGAATATCACAATAGAATTAGGATGTCTCTTGTTTAGTGAAGAGTTTTTTAAACATTTCAGATGGAATTTCTCCTTTTTGTAGCTGCACATTAAAGCTGCAGATTTCCCTGATACTGTCTACTCCCCTCCAAACTTGCACCTAACTTGGCAAATTTAGGCAGAAAAATAAATGTCAGCTCTTCTCCTTCTACACATGCACATACCTTGTCCTGACCTTCTAATAGTTGTTTTACACATCCTTCATGGAGCAGCCAGATTTTCCAAAGCATCTGCACGTCAGATGCTAACCTCCATTCCTGCAATTTTTCTCGTTTAATCCTTTCTTCTTCCTTCACCCTTCTCTTCCCAAAATTCCAAACACTTCTTTCAAATGCTAGTACATATTATTTTAAAAGTTATATATCTCAATACAGAAATCACTCCTCATTTCTATAGCAATTTTACCTTTGATCTCTTTTTATTTTAAAAATCAATCAGTTGCTCCGCTACTCAGAGAGCTTTTATTATTATGCATCTGTATTGGGTTTATGTGACAAGGTTTTCACAGAATCACAGAATCACAGAATTGTAGGGGTTGGAAGGGACCTCCAGAGCTCATCGAGTCCAACCCCCCTGCCAAAGCAGGTTCCCTACAGCAGGTCACACAGGTCAGCATCCAGGCAGGTCTTGAACATCTCCAGAGAAGGAGACTCCACCACCTCCCTGGGCAGCCTGTTCCAGTGCTCCGTCACCTCACTGTAAAGAAGTTCTTGCGCATGTTTGTGCGGAACTTCCTATGCTGCAGTACCAGTTTTGGTACTGGAGGGCTGCAGGGATGAGCAGGACACAGCAGATGCCCCATGTCGGATCAGAGCCAGTTCCAGATGGCTCGAAAAGGGACCTGACACTGGGCAGAGCTGAGCCATGAGTGACACTGGCTGTGCCTCTGTGAGAGCAGATCTAAGAAAGGGAACAACTGCTGTTCAACAGCAGCTGGAAGAGGAGTGAGGAACATGACAGAAACAGCCCTGCGAGCAACGAGGTGCAGGAGGGCAGGAGTTGCTCCAGGTGCAGAGCAGAAGTTTTCTGCAGCCCAGGAAAGGCCCACAGAGAGGCAGGCTGCCCTCCTGCAGGCACCATGTGGAGGACTCCATGTGTAGCCATGGAGCAGCCCTGAAGGAGCTGCAACACATGGAGAGCCCCAGCAGGAACAGGGCCTGCAACGGAGCTGCAACCCGTGGAGAGGAGCCTGCAGTGAGGCAGGAATTCTGGGAGAGCTGCTGCCCATGGGGACCCATTCTGGAGCAGTTACTAACAGATGGGCCCTGTGGTACTGAGCTGTATTGAAGCAGTGCTTGAACAGCTGCAGCCTGTGGGAATCCCACGCAGGGTCAGTTCAGTAAGGCTGGCGTCCCGTGTGAGGGACTCCATGTGGAGCAGGGGGGAGAGAGTGACCATGGAGGAGCAGCAGAGATGAAGCATTATGGCAGCCTCTATTCCTTCTTACACTATACTGCATGGCAGGAGGAGGTGGACGGGAGGAAATTGGTTTTAGTTTCTCACTGCTCCAGTCTGTTAGTAATAGGAAATAAACTACTCTAAGCTCCCTATGCTTAGTCTGTTTTGTCCATGCTGGTACTTGGCGAGTGATCTCGCTGTCCCTGATTCATCCCTTGAGCCTTTTTTCATCACATTTCCACCCTCTCTTCCTCTGAGGAGGGGGAGTGAGAGAGTGGTGTAGTGGAGTTCAGCTGCCCAGCAGGATGAAACCACCACAGCACTTCCTACAGGTATGGATCAATCTACAGAATAAGTGGTTATTTCCATTTGCAGCTGAACAGTTGGAAAAGAAGTTCAGTACATTTCATTTTTATCAGTCATGTTAATTACTAAAAGTACATACGGGGTATATCATGTACTTGGGATTTTTATTACATGTAAATGTGCTTTTTTGCTCATCTAATATTACTAAACACAGTGATTATAAAATACGTAGGAAGAAAGTGTGTTTTCCACTGCTGAACTTGACTGCTACTGATAAATCTACCACTTCCCTGAGAGAAAATTTTCAGTGGTTAAGGATGTTGCGTGTTGGTTTTCTTCTCCCTCGTCTGCCTTCCGGACTTTAAAATCTCCATAGAAATTCCAAGTATGCTTATGTTTCGCAAAATATTGAAATATCTTCGTGAGGTTCAGTATTCCTTCAGTCTCAAGAGTGTTGTGAAGTTTAAATTAATTAACGTCTGATAAGAAATCTCAAATTCTCAGATGAAAGGATGTGTATGGGTCAAATTCTGATTTACACAATGTAAATCAAATAGGAAGTCCCAGTATATTCTGGTACAAAAGATACCAATGAATTTTAATAATTTAATACTATACCACAAAATTAGTTCAGTTTACAACGCAAACCAGGAATTTGCTAACTGCAAGCACTGCAAATCCACAGTGGGATTTGAAAGCCTTGGTGACTTTCTTCTGCCTCCATTAATTAAGACAATGCAAGCAGAGCTTAGCTGACAACTTACTGGTAATGTGTGAACTGCAAAAGAACTCTCTAATAGCAAGGTGACTCATGAGGGAGTCCTTAGAAGGACGGAAACAGATTCGGGAAAGTGCAGACCTGTCAGGTCTCATATAATGAAGGTGAGATTAGATGGACTTCCCCCTCATGCTTTCCCTAACACAGGGATGCTCCTTCCAGCAAATTCAATAGGCACTGCCTACCTGTAACTAGGCAAAGAACATGCTCTGCAGAAGTTTTATAGGATCTTTTATAGTTCTCTTTGTTTTGACCAAAACTGTGCTTTAGATCCTAAACTAGCAGAGGGCTCATAAACAGGTAAAAATATAAGCCAGTACTCAAAGTGTTTTTACAGCAGGACCAATGTAAGCATGGATAGCAGACAACGCCTTCACACTGTACAAGCTGGGGAAAATAGTATTCTCCACTTCTAACAGGCATGGAATTGATATAAACTGTGTGTTCTCACAGGAAATCTGTGTGGCAGCAAGGAGTTCAACATGGGCCTTCTGTATCCTAAACCTGTAACTATTTTATGACTATGCCACAAGATGAATTTTCAGATTTCAGCCTTACTGTGCCAGGATACTATGAATTCTCCTTAACACAGAAAAACATTCTGCAATCCCCCAACATCCACAGGCTATGCCCATGACATCACTTCTGCTCTCCTCACATAAAGAGGTCACGCAGGATTCTCCACAATTAGGAAGGAAGGAGAATAGAGGGCCAAACATTTTGCTGGATCTTAAGCTGGCAAACAGTGACCAAATATTTACTAAATGATAGATGTACAAATTAGGACCCATTCAGTTTCTTCCAACTATATTATCCTGCATCTCCCCTCTTAGCAATGATTCTGCATTTTAAATACTTAAATAGAGCATTTTGATGATAATGAATGAAGAGAAAAAGAAATTCATTTATCTCACCTACTTTCATTTACACATCTGCAAAGAATAAAAGTTATGACAAATACAGCAGACAAAATTCTAAATTCCCAGTGAAACACAGCTGCTGGATAAGGTGATGTCTTTATCACAAAGTTAATTTCAGGATAGCATGGCACACAAAGAACAAAAATGGATAGTGCTCTAAACATCAAAAGGGAAAACCTTGTGACTGAGCATAAAATGCAAAAGTAACAGCTATTAGAATCAGTATGGCACTCTGAGTAAACTCTGACACATGAAATCACTAAAACAGTAAATCAAAATGAATGCAGAACTTGAATATATACAGTCAATGCTAAAATGCAAAAGAGCAAAATGTGGTTATGTCCAATATATTCTCTCCTATCTTACCATTTGTTGATAAAAGTGAGTGAGCTGCATTTTGCTGTGGTAACCACTTGATCTTGTTTATTTTTTCTTCTATCTCCAAGCTCTTCAAATAATCAAATTCAGGTTCATGGCTCTGGAAAGTGCTGTAAACATTGTACTCCCCCTGACTGTAAGGCTCATTTTTACTCTGTGAAGAATAAGAACAACAAAAATGCATGTTGTATTATGGCAATATATTTTCTCCTGCTCTAGGGGAAGGTGTACTAGCAGTCTTATAAATATAAAAATGTTGAACGTATAATTAAATTGCTCATTTAAAACATGATATCGATGGATCCGTTTCTACAGGAATGAAATTTCCCATAAATATCAAAGTAGCATTTTATAAAGGACAGAATTTTGAAAGAAATGTCAACTGCACAGAAGATGCTGTGCATGGACTAAATTTAAAACTGGAGCAGAAAAGATAGCACAGCACAAACATTGTTTGAAATTGAATAACTCCATCAAAGAGGCAAAAGCTATTAAAAAGTAAAACAAAGACCACCACTTCTCTTCTTAGCTTGGAATTCTGGAGCTCTGCCGTATTCTTTAGAGGAACAAGACTAAACTTCTGATGAAAAGAGATTTACCCTCCTTCCATTCTTTTTTACTCAATCTTGAGAATATAAGCAAGTTTTTTTGTTAGATCTAATTGAAGTACTAACAATCAAAACAGCTGTTAGCAAGCTATTAACTCACATACCTCAGGTTCCCTTTGGAATATAACAACCCGACCCCCCTTGTCACCAGTAGCCAGCAGTTCTCCAGTGTGGTTGAACTCAACTGTAGAAATAATATCAGCTAAAGTGGAAAAGAGAGAGAAAAAGGAAAATTTTAGTTTACTGCTACAACACAAAGCCATTAGGATTATCAAGTACTCCACAAAAAATGAGAGATTTGAAGGGAAATGAATTCAACAGCAAGGCACTAATGCAAACAGGCTGCATGCCATTAGAATCCAAGGTTGCTACACAAAGAAACAAGTGCAAACGTAAGGAGGCAAACTTGTTTCCAGCACGTCTGCAGCCTGTAGATCTCTAGAGGGGTTAAGATTTAGGAAGAGCAAACCCAGCTCTATAAAGCTTTTTCACTACTGGAGATAACAGTGTTGGCCCCCTGCTATTTCCTCGGCAGGGACCAATGTGAAAGCTTATTCCTGCTGCATGTATTATTTATTCTTCATTCTTTATTAGGGTTCCAATAAAACCCTAAGCACTAGTTTACTAGTGTTTGAGCCAACAGTAAAAAGGCAAAGTACATGTGCCACAGAGAACTGCTCACCGTGCCATGCTGGCAAGAGCCCATTCAAATCAGAGTTTTCAGTAAATCATTTCAGCACCATAAAATGTGTCATCAGAAGATAAAAAGATTGCAGTCTTTTTCTAATTTTCAACAATTCTCTTTCCCTAAGCAATTGCATCAGCTTATACAAGAAACCTCATCAAAACCTGAGGCCAATCTTTAGCACAAAATACTGAACATCAGAATGAGAAGGGAGAAATTGATAGGAGCAAAAGAGCTGGCACTTCTGCTTGTACGACAGCAAATGCGAGAATCATAATCCACAGTTAATCCTACACTATTAGCATAATTTAAATTAAAATGCCTAGTGCAATAGTAAATTAAGAAGCCATCACATATACAACCACAGACAAACGCAGGGTATTACTCAGAGACTACACGTATGAATTCTCTATAATGATCAGTATGCACTCAGCAGAAACACGGGCCGCATTTTTTGAAGCATCCATAGTCAGCAGCTCCTCTTCAGGCATTAAAAGCTGTGGTTTTTAAGTGTGTTCATCATCCATCAGTTTATATCAAGAACAATGGGGCTACAGGGGGTTAAGCCCTTTTGAAAGCCTAGCCCCAAATGAGTTCACTAAAATTTAAAGGAATTAAAATAACAAGTGGATGCTCCATTTATTGGATACATTTCGAGAACTGAAAACATCTGCTCCTATTATTCCTCTAATACACTAGCATTTGAGTGTTAAAAAGCTCCTATTGCCAGTAGCTCTCATCAGCAACACAGTTTCCAAAAACCCAGATTCTTACTGGAAGATCATAAGCACCACCTGAAGAAGGAAAATCATACTCTAATAATAATAAAGTATCTCTTTTGATCTTTTTAAGAAATCTCCATCATTCAATTCCGTTTGTCTCTCTAAAAAACGTTCTTTTTTTTTTTTTTTTTTTTTTTCACTATACGTTGACATGTAAAGAAGGAAGGGAGGATCGTAAAGTATGCAGGCAATTATTTCTTTTCTCTGAATAAAATGTATAGATACATAGCCTTTGAGAGAAATGGCATACAGCAACTTGCAACATTTTGGTCATGAATCCTAAGCTTCTCATATTTGATGGTCTTTGATTCTTTATGCAGATCTCTGCAGACTGTATTTCACAGGTGATTATCCCAGCTGCTCTCACCTTACTAGAGTATGGAAAGAATAGAGAGGCTAGGGCTGGTGATGCTATGGGGCTCAGGAGGGGCTGGGTTGGATCTAAGAAATATTTAACATAAAAAAATCAGATCAACTTTCTTGGCATGTAACGTTCATCCATAGTTCTTACTAAGAAGACATCTTGGTTACTTTGCTCTTATCCTGCAAAACTCATACCAGTGGTAGGTGTGAGCTCAGGCTCATAAAACAATATCTACATGGTTTTAGTCATTTAAAGTTGTATCTGACCCCAGCCAAACAGGCAGAACTGCAGACAACTCATACTGACAGTGCTTTTAGACCTATCTCTAGAGTGTATTGGCAAGAAGGCAAAAGAAGAGGGGAGAAGTGTATTAAGAAAATGTGTGCATTGGTGTATAAACTCAGACATATGTAGCACATAACTGATTTTCCCAACAGGTCACAAAAAAATCAGATGCAAAAGTAATGAATGGTTTTACATTAGCATATGTGAATACACTTTCCATTGGCTTGAAATACTTCCACAGTGGCATGAAATTGTCTGTAAATGATCACAAGATACTACAGAAGGCACAAAATGGTCACAAATGGTCACAAAGCACCACAGACACTTCAGCTAATGCCCAGTGAAGTCAACAGGAATTGCATCAAAGTCATCAAAGTCATCAAAGCAACCAAAGCAGGGTAATAAAACCTCTGTATTTATTAAAATAGTGTGCTGTTAAGTGATTATTGCTTAAATAAAAGCAGCTAACACATAAGTATCTCTGAGCAGTCGATGTGATATAGTTCAGTGCATAATTCCCTCCCTCATAAGCTGTTTCTCCCAGAGGCATCTCTCCTTTCAACAAGAGAAGTGAATTCTGAACTGGAAATCGCCCATCGTTTTCAAATTAACTTGTTCTTAAAAGAAGATCAGAACCAATATTCTGACCTTACATGGTATGCAGCTTGTTGGTAAAAAATTAGCCTTGAATTGAAAAATCACTTTTATTGATCCTGTAAATAACAGCTGAAAACAACAGCCAAAATATCTTATCCAACATGCCAGTTCAGCAGGCAAGCATTAGTCATGCTGCTTTCATAAAGATTAGCCGAGATGGCTCTTTCTAAGACAGATGAGGCAGGAACAGAATCAATCCACAAAGCTTTTCATATCCCTCTGCAGGACATTCCCCTACAGCTTTGTTAGTGCTATAGCAACATCAGCCACCATGGTCTCCCTACAGACTCTTACATTGGAGAATGACTCCCTGAGCATGCAGAGAAGCAAACTCCCGGCGAACTCCCTCTCTGGGATATATAAATGCTCCACAATGCAAGAGCTGCTGAATTTGCACGTACAGTGAGTCCTTGGTAAGGGATGATTGAGATGAAAGGCTCCATCCTGCTCTACACCTTCCATGTCCTAGCATTATCAAGCTTGGCACTAACTTTGATTATATGAAAAACAGATAATTTAGCTATTAATTACAGGTAACCTCAATAGCCAATGTTGACAATTAAATTGCAAATTTCAACTTTAACACAATATTAATCTTCCTGATCTGTGTGTAAATTCCCCACTTTGTCTACACAAATATTAAAATAAATTTGTATTTAAAAGACATGATGCACAACATTTTCACACAACTAAAAAACACAAGTTTAGTATTCAATATACAGATGCTGGCTGAGAAAAACACACAGAAAACTTCCAAAGGATAAGAGAACATTCCAGAGAGGTACACACCTGCTTCTCTTCTATATCCTGCCACAGCAAATTGCTCCAGAAGACACTACGTATTACAGACCTCACTCCTCAGGCCGGTTTTACGGATTGACAGAAACACAAATCTAGACCCTAAACCAACAGGAAGTTTTTCCTGATCCAATCTGAAACATTTAATTCCCTGACTCCTAGTCATCTCTCATTATACCCCATTACCTAAATAATTCCTCTGCAGCTTCAGTTTACCCTCTTTAAAGGCGTTTAATTGTGATGTCATACTGAGCAGCTGCTGCTTAGTTATCTGTATTCATTGTTTCTAATAGATCTAAGTATAGCAGTGTACAACTATGCACATCAAGACATCTCTAGCTGTTTGTACTTCTCTTCCCTCAGTTTCATTAGCACTGTTCCCACACAGATGCAGGCAAATGAACTCTCAGCAGTGCCCACTCAGACTCAGCGTGGGGTGGGATGAAACAAAGGCAGGCACATGCAGCCCCAGTTACTTTGCTCTGTGCTTCACACCATCTCACACTTTTCTGTGTTCAGCTCCTGGACTCTCTCAGGTTTATTTTACAGGTTTTTAATAGTTTCTTCCTTGGATTTAAGTAAAAGGTAACACAGACCATGTAAAATACCTTTACAGTAATTAAAAACTCATATCTGTGTAATGAATTTTTCTATCACTTGGGGGACTCTACCAAAATTGTTCACCAATTGTTCATGCAAAGCAAGAGAGACCCTAACATGCTTTACTCATCTTTATACAGTCTTTTGGTCAGAAACCTCAAGCAACTCTTAGAAAAGTTCAATTACGCTTTTCTGTATGTTACTTTCACTAATAATTTCTACTTTTCTGAGGCCCTTCATTTGAAGGCACTGGTATATTTTATAAACATCACCTTGGCTTCAGAAGATCAGGCAAGCAATGACATTTTCAGAAGTATTTCATCCTACAGAGAAATGCATATTTTTGGAGCAATTTTTGAGGGAAAACATCATGATGCAGCTGTAGAGGGAAAAGATGATCAGAGAATATAATATACAGCTGAACAGCACTATAATCCTGATAGAGACTTAAAGGATTTGCAATGAGCCAGAATACTGTAATTAACATCAGCATTTTTCTCATAAAAGGTTGTGAAATCCCACTGATGAGAACAGGTCAGAACGTTTCCTTAATACTTCATCCACCACCAGCATCACAACACTGGTCTGAGCTGACTAGCAGCATCTAGGGCTTTTTTGTGTTTTCCCGGTGGCTAGAAGGCAATCTTGTAGTCTACACTGTTTCAACCAAGTTCTGACCTGGCCTAACCTTGGCTTGTGAAATCCAATAAGATCACAGCACAGTCTGGCATGGCTGCAAGCAATGTTCGGTCATAGTGATACTAAAGTCCCCAAGGAATGTAATCTGGAAGAAACAACAAAGAAGCTTGCAACAAAGAGATATAAAACAAGAGGATAAATGGTAGATAAAAGAATGAGCAATATTACAGTAACTCGTGTGAAGGGAGGCCATTAGATTGAGCTATGTTGTTGGAATTTAATTTAGACAGTAAAAAAAAAAAAAAGAAAAAAGGTGAATAAAAAATTGAGTGAAAGAGCCCATTCCCCTTTTATCAAGCTGAACTTTCACAGGTTTCCTCCAGCAGCTAGAA